GGAAACCCTATACAGGGTCGCTATGGGTCGGAACTGACTCGATGGCACTTAACAACAACAACAACATACTTTATCAAATTTTTTAAATTTTGTGATTTTTGTCTTTGCAAGAATGTATCTAATGAGGATGGAGGGATGGGATATGATTTGAGTCTGGCTATTTCTGCTCCCGTAAAGACCTATAGCCTCCAAAACCCTATGCAGAGTCACTATGAGTCAGAACCGACTCCACAGCACATAACCACCAGTATATGATAATATTGCTTACTTACCAATCTTTGTTATATTTTGAGAGTTACAAATTTAATGCAAGAAAAAAGAGTTCCTTTTAGCATTTTCCCTTAACTTTTATATTCATGGTGGGTTTAAACGTAACTGAAATAGTTTAAATTGAAAGTGTTTTTGTAGTAATATATAATTATTTATGAGATAGCATATCTAAGAAGTTAATACGGAGGACAGTAATTATAAAACTTTTTGTTGTTGTTGTTAACAATTCTTTTCTTTGAGAGCAATGACAGTGTAGTAGTTAAGAATGAGTTCCATAGAAAGGTGTTAACACTGGTGCAGTGTTTCTTGTTCTGTTGTTCTTGTTGAGTGCCATTGAGTCAGTTCTGACTCAGCAACCCTGTACAGGGTTTCCAAGGAGTAGAGGCTGATGGGTTTGAACTGCCAATCTGGGAAGTTGGCAGTCGTATTCTTCAGTTCCACAACGTAAACTATTGTAACTAATTAATCAAGAGATTTGTTGTCTTCTACTCCAGTCAGTTAAAAGCAACAAAGACTTTGGGGTAAATCAAACCTGTCTGAGTGCCTAGTGACATCCTGAAAGCATTTAAGATTACTACCCTTTCATCCCCACAGTGAGCATATGGCTTGTTGCACACATTGAAACCTATAGTTAGGTTAATCATGATCTGAAGCATCTATTTAATGGAATCTATTTATAAAGATGGTGTGTCAAGTTCAGACTCCTCTAATAGGAGTCTTAATGTATGTGTTTTAATGTAGCAATCACTCTTCATATTGTATTGGTGTAATAACAAGTCATAGTTATAACTTGGCTCTAGTTACAGTAGCAATAAGAGAAAACAGACATGGGATATTTGGAGGGACTAGAAATTTTTAAAAGAAATAACCTAATGACCAATAATACTGTCTTCTCCAGAGGCTATTGAATCCTAAGCATTAACTGAAATTCATGATCCTTCTGAAAAGTGAAATTGTGTTTGAAAGGAAGAAGGTTTGTATATGGTAATTGTGATTAATGAACACGATTCCATGACAAACAGAGCTGGAGCATTTCCAGCTCAAATTAGGTTCTTTCAAGGAGAAAGATTAAACAATAGGATTTACTTTTTGAATAAGTAAAGAAGTTAATTGTTTGGGGAATTCTATTTCTTTCAAGTAAATTACCCAATTTTCATTTCTAATTGTAGGTGCCCCACCCCCGGTTGTGATGGCTCTGGACATATTACTGGCAATTATGCTTCTCATCGAAGGTATGTAGAGATAATTCTTCTTTTCTTCAAAACCATTCTTTCTTACTGAAATGACAGCACAGTCCACACACAGGGACATTGATTGTTCAGGCTTCAGATTTTGGAGCACACCACTGTCAAACCATGAAGTTTTAATCAGGCCTTACTTAGAAAACAAAGCTTTCATTACTCCAGGACCAAATGTTTTTGTAGTACTATCTAATTAGTTAGTACTATCAAAATTAATTTTGTTTTTGGAATATTTGATTACTATGTATTATTTCCCTTTGTGTAACCCCGCCAGTAGTCAAGCAGGTTCATCTGCAAGAAACATTTCTGAAGTCATTCCATCTTTCTAAATTGAAAGGCTGTTGTTGTTGTTATGTGTCGTGGAGTCGGTTCCAACTCATAGTGACCCTGTACAGGGTTTCCGAGGCTATAAATCTTTACCGGAGCAGAAAGCCTCATCTTTCTCCCGCAGAACAGCTGGTAGTTTTGAACTGCTGACCTTGCGGTTCACAGCCTGATTCATAACCACTACGCTACCAGAGCTACTTAAATTGAAAGGCTAAAGGAAAGAAATAAATAGATATATAATAAGATCCCTGAGAGTACTCATTGAGAGGCAAACATTCTGATATCATTTAGAGTTCCTTTTTTAAGTATTAATATTTGAACCACAAAGCTGTCCAGTTACTATAAACAGAGATTAACAAGCTGACATCTTCTAAAATACTTAATCTTAAAAATTCTAGGCACTATCACCCTCAAAAAGAATCATATGAGATTTTAAGTAATTGATGCCATTTGTCATTCAGTAAATATTTTATTAATACTATTTTATGTCAAGTCCTATTTTAGAATTTAATTGAAAGGAACATTTGGTACTTTATCTATATAAAAATGGATCTAAACTTTATAGTTGGATGTAGAAATTTTCATGTCATGTTCACGTATGATCAACAAGTGTATGCCAAATTAGGAACAAAAATTTTCCTGAATTAAACCCTCTAACAATGAAAAAAGGAGTGCTGTATGTAAAACACACAATCAAATAAATAAACTGAGTTATATTTGATGCCTTCCCATTCTCTGAAGTTTTAGACTATAAAGCAGGCAGTCCAAAACCAGAGCCTTTATGTTGTAAACATACCCTCATTGGAGGAAAAATATTAATATAGTTCAAGTGAGTATCAACAGTAAATAGCCTACCCACCAACCACAAAACCCATCCTGTAAAAACACAAGGTCATTTTGCATAATTGGCCTAGTGACCACATTCAAACAGTAAGAGTAAGGGGAACATTCAGCTGGCTGACTGACACAGCTTGGACTGTACTAAATTCAAATGGTGGCTTCGCTTCATTGTTAAGATCCTTTTTCAAATTATCTGGTTCTGGTAGCTTAGTGGCTAAGAGTCAAGCTGCTAGCCTCAAGGTCAACAGTTCAAAACTAACAGTGGTATATGGGAGAAAGATGAGGCTGTCTGCTCCCATAAAGATTTATAGCCTCGGAAACCCTATGTAGGGTCACTATGAGTCGGAACTGACTCCACAGAACACCACCATTTCCACTTTTAAATCATTTGGGAACAAGTATATTAGTAATTGCTAAAGCCTACAGGGAGATCTGAATTTTAGCCCTGAAGTAGTTAGGCAAAGATTCTTCATACTCACAAAATGCACACATTTCATTTTCTAGACCAGTGTTTCTCATCCAACGCACTCTTGACATTTTAGATTATATAATTATTTGCCGTGAAGGCTACCCTGTATATTGCAGGATGTTTAGTGATAGCTCTAATGTTTACTCATTAGTTGCCAGTAGTACCACCCTCCATTTGAGATAGCCAAGTTATCTTCAGACATTGCCAAATAGCCGCTGAAGGCAAAGTTGTCCCCAGAAAAAACAATTGCCATAAACCATATTGTTGTTGTTGTTGTTAAGTGCCGTGGAGTCGGTTCCGACTCATAGCGACCCTGCACAGGGTTTCCGAGGCTGTATATGTGGTATTAAAAATTCACAGCTAGGAACTACATTGAATATAAAACAAAAGTAAGCAACTACCTTCAATTAGAACTGCCAGAATAACATCACTGGCTTAGATTAAATAAAATGAATAAAATAAAATAAAATAATAGAACTCTAGTTAAATATGAAATTAAAGTATTTTCTGTGCTACTTGTTATTTTAATTTATCTTGGAAAAGAAGTGTCTCACTCCTCACAACATCAGAACTTCCAGTATCTTATATCTATAGAACTAAAAGTGAACATTAACTGATCATTTCATGTCTAAATGTTTGGGTTTTGTTCTACTGATTTTTTTGTTTGTTTAGCATCATGTAAATTCAGTCATGGTGTGGTTTAAATACTTTTATTCATTTTGCTTATAACTTGGAATGTTAGATATCAATATAGCTTAAACCTGTGATTAAAATACAATTTGAGCTTACAGTTAAGCTATGATCTATATCTGGAATAATAATATCAAGTCTAATCCATAGAGTTAGAAAGTAAATTTAATCTTGTTTTTGGAATATTTGATTACTATATAGAAGTGAGCTTCAAAAGTTCATGGAAAGATGGAATTAAAAGTTAATGGAATTTTTCCACAAATTTTTGGAAGCCACCTCAGATAGCTCTCTAGGGATTTTAGCATACTGAAAGTAGACTATACTGTGTTACTATTTTCTATAGTAATAATTTCTCTTGGGCAGAATCTTGAATGGGGTTTACCACTTTGTTAAGCAAAAGTGCTGCACTCACAGCTATAATGAGAGTTAGGTGATTACATTTCTTTTTATATTAGAGAAAACTGAGACTCTTAAAAAGTTAAATAGCAAAGACTGAATATCAAACCCAGATTTTCTGATTCCAAAGCTCTTTCTTACCATAGACTTACATGTCCAGAATGGCAATGGCCGTTGAATATCATATAGTCTGCTCCCTACTGCAAATGTAGGAACACCCTAAACTAGTTTAGATGAGACTTGAATTGTATATGCTTTTATTTTGGTTTTAATGGTGATAGTGTTTTCCAGTCTGTGCACAATATCTTGTTTCATTTTAACACATATTTATTGACTGCAAATGATGTTCTATTAAAAAAAAACAAAAAAAAACACCAAAATCCTTCATTAAATGCTATGTTCTTCCTTCTGTGTGCTCAGTGAAGACAGAGACCATCTATCTATTTGCCAACTTCCATATAAAGCTATCAGATATTTTAACCATTATCAAATTTTATCTTGGTCTTCTTTTCTTCAACAACAACAAAATTGGTTTCTCAAGCTTTTCTTCAAAGGTTGTATTTTCCAGTCATGTTTAAAACTTTTCTCTGATACTTCACTAAAGTCTTCTTATTCTTCTGAAATGTTCAAACATGTCAGGATGGTGACCTCTCAGCATGGTCTTCGCAGAGGACTTACTTAAGAGATCTTCCTTGTTTTCTCGGATTTATTCATCCCACTTGCTTTTCTTAAGATGCAAGCATAGCTAATGTATTCTTTATAGAAGAATAGGGTCTGAAAGCATATTGACAAGTTAATAGTAATAGTCTGTATGACAGTAAGGTGAAGGGTGAATAAAAACAATCATGGGGGAAATGTGAGGAAGGCCTATGCTAGATGGTAATCCAAGAGAGATGAGAGATATTGTAACATTTTATTAGGCTAACTATGAGGAAGATAAGTGTCAATGGTGCATCTTAGATTCCCAGGTTGGACAAATGGGTACATGATAATGTCATTATCTGAAAGAAAATATCCTTATAGACAATGTGAAAATTAAATTCTGTTTAATTGTATTAAGTTTGGGATTCCTATGTTATATCCTGGAGTCCTGGTGTGGCAATATAAGACAAGCACTGGATTGTTAACTACAAGGCAGGCGGTTTAAACCCACCAGCTGCTCCTTGGAAGTCCTATATAGGGTCACTATGAGTCAGAAATGACTTAATAGCACTTAACAACAAGAACTTGTTATACCCTGGATAGCAAAGGAGAAGGAATACAAGTACAAATAAAAGTTTTAGAGTCCTTAATATGTATGCTATTTAAACTCATTGAATAATAATTGTAGTAAAATCAAAATAATATCTTTTTAAATGAAAATATGGATCAAACAAAATTGAAAGATGAGTCCAAATTCTAGAAAACTAGATTTTCAGCCTAACTTCAAACAGAAGTACTATGACACAGCTCAGAAGCCCACAAAGAAAGAGTGGTCATGCAAAATTAATTTCCATATATATTGCTCAAACTAGAATAAGAAAACTAGATGGGTCATTTTTTGCTCTGTTCAAAGTTAGTCTCTAATATAAATAAAAGGTGAAAATCAGGGATCAAAATATACTGAGCACTTCTCTGTGCCAAGTATGTTATATATCTTGCCATGCTTAATGTTTATATAAAGCCATAATATAGGTCTTATTCATGCTGCAGTATAGATGACGAAATTGAGAGTCAAGGAAGTTAAATAACTTGTCCACGTCTACACAGCTAATAGGTAGTAGAACTGAAATGTCCACCTGCCTATCTGATATGAAGTCTTACATTCTTTCTATCATCCAGGGCTTACATTCTATTAAAATGGTGCCCAGGTTATTCTCCTTGCATAACCTTTCATAAACTCCATTTTGTGGTATATAGCAAGTCATAGATTTTCATTTCCATGTTTTAAGCTGAAAAGGAGACTTTTAAAATATTGAGAATTTTGCACTTACACAATTCCTGGGATTTAATGCTTACTTGGTGTGTTGGGAAATTTTTCTTGTTTCCATCAAACATGAAAATTAGCAAGAAGCAAGTATAAAACAGTCAGTTCCCAAATTAAAATGTTGCCCATGAAAACAAGGCCCCATAGACCTTCCTGGAATCTATGGAGAATTGAATTCTAAAGGGAAAAATAAGCCACTGGTATGATAAAGCATGAAATAGCAATAGAAAAGTGAGAAACAACCACCAAAGACAAGTAGAAGAGGACAGGGAACAGATTTATTGGAAGCAAAAGAAGGTGAAG